GACGGTGGACTGGGGGCAGAGGGCAGAGGTCAGAGGTCGGGGCCGAGGCCTCGTTCCAATCGGGTCGGGCTCACCTCCTGCTTGCGGAGCAGCTTCCTCATCACCATGTGGCGAGCGCTGCTGCCGCTGATGCTCATGTGCTCCTGCTCGCTGAGCGGCTCCGACGCCGCCTCCTGCTGTGCCTCCAGCTGAGACTCCGCCTCCTTCCTCCTGGGCTCGGAGCCCGACGGAGGCGTAGCCAAAACCGGGTTCACAAGCCCCACATGAGGCAGGCCGGGGCGAGCCGGGGTCACGCCTGGAACGGCAGCCGGCGGTTAGCGGCACAGGATGAAGGGAGGACTGAGAGGACTGGCGGGGCCCGCTCACCTGTGATGACTCCCGGTGCCTGGGCGGCCATGACGGCCTGCGGGAGTCCCAGCTGCTGGGAGAGGAGCGCCGGGCCGGCCAAAGGTCCAAGCAGCGAAGCTCCAACCGGATCCTGACGAACCAGAGAAACACTGAGGCAGTAGGAACACCACTGGCCACGCCCACTGGCCACGCCCACTGGCCACGCCCACTGGCCATGACAGCTAATATTAGCTATAGCGCTCAGGGTAATACCGGGTTCAGCCCCGCTAGGAAGGCTCACCCAGATTTAGTTAAAAGTTTTAACATGGACTTAGAATATCACAAGAGCCAACGTTAGAAATAAAACATTATAATAAATATATTATCAGTTTACACAGGTGGCAATGACTGTTGTTAATATGTAATTCTTTCACTCTGTCAAAAGTAAGATGGCTCCCAAATCTGCCGTTTTTATTTTGAAGGTTTCCTAAAGCCACGATGTGAGAAAGAAGTGGGAAAACAAGGAGACAGATTCACTGCACAGGATGAATCTAGAATCTCTCTGAATCTGGGGAGGATCTACTGGGGTGGTTAAGGCTCTCATTTGGACAGTTGCCACCCCTGTTACCACCCCAGCTGGCGACAATGAATTCAATAAATAGGGCAAAATGGACATTAAGCACACAAATATCTGTTTTCCAACAACATTGAATGCACCACAATGTAACCTGACATCTACTGCTAAGTAGCGGGAAGCGAGAGAAGGACAGAGAGAGGCAGCAGCATTGATATGTATGGATACAGGCACGTACAGAGGGGGGGCAAGAGGGGGTTGAGCACCTGCCCCTTTTGCTCCTTGCCCCCAAGGATAGAAAACAGCGAGGCCTCAATATATAAACAACCGCTATCGTTTCGTCTTTAGTACTTCTTTTTCATTGGATATTCTTTAAAAAAATGAACATTCATAATAAGCCATAAAGATATTTTGAGAATTTATATTTCTATGGTTATTTTATGCATTTGACAAGAGATGTCAGTTCTCCTGTAATGCTTGAACATTTTAAACATTCCTCTTATTGATCTAAAGCAATTGTAAAATGTTCGACATTAAACTCAAATCTTCAGATCTCCCTTGATGGAATGAGTTTGACAAAAATTAATTATTTGTTTTAGGTTGTCATATTCATCAGCATCAGAATATTTACCCTGATTTTTCTCCATAAGGCCTGGCTCTGCCACTAGCCCCTGACCTTGTCCCTCCATGGTGTACCTGAGCTGTGATCTTGGCACTGGCAGCGGCTGCAGCCACGGCGGCGGCTGCAGGAAGTCCTCCAGCAGTGGTGGGGGTGAGGAGGGGCATGGGCGGAGTCACGGCCTTCCCCACCCTGAGGTACTGCCCCCCCAGGTCGAACAGGTTCATGGAGGCCACTGCGTCCAGGGCCGACTGAGCCTTGTCGTACTCTGGACACACAGAGGACAAGCTGGTTTCAGACAGCAAGACGCAGCTCGCCGCATCGCGTCCCACAGGACGCGGTGTGACGCCGACCCCAGAGGACCAGAGCGGTCCCTGACACCTGGCCGGCCTCACCAATGAAGCCGTAGCCTTTGTGTCGCCCGGTGGTGGGCTCGCGGGCCAGCATGCAGGACTTGATCCTGCCGAAGGCCTCGAAGACGCTCTTGATGTCCTCGTCGGAGAGGTCGGGGTGGACGGACGCCACGTAGATCCTGTTGAAGGCCCGCGCTTCCTCCGCCAGCTGGTCGATGATCGGCTGAGCCTGGCCGATGTTGCTGGGCCGGCCGACCTGCAAGACAGCGCGAAGGGATAAGTGGACGGCCGCGGTAACGCAGAGAGACGGTGATGTCACATGATCAACCAGCCCCTCCAGTGGCCTCTCAGCGTTCAGATAAACTCCACTGGGAACCTCGAACTGAACTGCACTCAGCTCAAATGTTTGGGCTTTGGTACGTTTGCAGCTGACCTGGTTTTCCTGGGCATTACTGGATTGGAAGCCTGGTTTTCTCTTTTCTAAGGCACCTTAATGTTACTGGTTAACTGGTTAACTGGGTGGTTCCTGTTCTGGCCCTTTCAATGGTTCACTGAGGGCAACATTTTTTCTTCCCTTTGATTTTATTTTGGGTTGGATTGTAGAACGATCTACAACATGAAACAGGAAATAAAGACCCAGAAAACAAACATATATAATGAAGACAGACAGGAACCGGGCCCACCTTGATGTTCCTCCCTCCCAGAACCACAGAGTTCATCTGTTCAAGAGCCAGCTGGGCCGCTTCAGGAACCTCGTACTCCACGAAGGCAAAACCCTGCAGAGACAGAACTGATCAGGGAACCACAGAGGGAACCAGAGGGAACCAGAGAGAACCAGAGAGGGAACCAGAGGGAACCAGAGAGAACCACAGAGGGAACCAGAGAGGGAACCAGAGAGAACCACAGAGAACCAGAGAGAACCACAGAGGGAACCAGAGAGAGAACCAGAGGGAACCAGAGAGAACCACAGAGAGAACCACAGAGGGAACCACAGAGGGAACCACAGGGAACCAGAGAGAGAGAACCAGAGGGAACCACAGAGGGAACCACAGGGAACCAGAGAGAGAACCACAGAGGGAACCACAGGGAACCACAGAGGGAACCACAGGGAACCAGAGAGAGAACCAGAGGGAACCACAGAGGGAACAAGAGAGAGAACCAGAGAGGGAACCAGACAGGGATCCCTGAGGTTCTACGGCTGTCTCTTGTCCTCTTGGACCTTGTGCTTCATCGTGACTGAGTCCCAGGACATGTCGATGCTTTTGATTGGTCCAAAGGGGATGAAGGCCTGCCTGATGGTGTCCTCGCCCAGCTCGTAGTAGATGGAGCCCACGTAGACCCGGCACATGATGGCCAGAGCTCTCTGGCGCTGCGCTGCCACCTGGTGGACAGGAGGATCAGAGGGAGCAGGTCAGCATCCACCAAGGCTGCGTTCACCCAGCCTTGGTGGTCTGTCTGCCACCCAGATCCCACTTCTCACAGCAGTCTGAACCTTTCCCATGTTTCACCCAAAAAACCAACCTGTTCACCGTCCAGCTGTGGAGCTAAAGCTAGCAGTAAATCTAAACAACATCTGAAATGATAATAATGAAGTGATGGAAGCAGTCTGAGTCAGTGAACACATCACATCCCAACCCAACCCACCACTGCTGGTCCGACTCCAAACAGAACCGGAGCAGAACCGGGTCAGAGGCTACAGCCAGTGCACCACTAAAGGCCGCTGCTGTTAGCGTTCTGTCAGCTTCCTTCGTCTGCTGACCGTGTTGCTCTCAGCAACTTTAAAACCCTTCCAGAGACGGCAGCCATCTTTACAATCGCAAACAGAGCGATGCTTGTCATGGCTACTTCTTTCGTCATTTGCGGTCGGAAACCGTTCACACATAAGTCTGACTGTGTCGCAGTATTTATTATTAGCATGAACCACTACGCAGGAAAGACCAGATTTTTAGAGAACATGGAACATCAAGAGCTGCTGGAAGAAGGAAACCTGAGAACTGCTGAAAGATTAGATCCTGCCAATAGGCCAACAGAACTGGGCCTGAACAGAACAGAACCATACTCACCGACTGCAGCGGCGACAGAGCATCTCCTAAACCCATGGTCAGAGGAGCCATCTGAGGGAGGAGAACAGACAACCCTTAACTATCACAGAGGAGGTAAAGGGGGCGTGGCCTCTGGGAGTTACCTGCAGGCTGGTGAGCTGCTGATGCTGCACCAGCGTCTGCTTCACCAGCACGCTCTTGATGCTCTGCTCCATAGCGTACTTTTTAGCCTGCAGGGAGAACCCAGAGAGCATTTAGCGACCAAAACCACAGGTGCTGCTGTTGGTTCTGACCCGTTGCAACAGATTGACCTTCTGCAGCGCCTCCTGCTGGTTGGGGGTAAGCGGAGGCAGGCCCAGCTTAGGGGTGGGGGCGGCGGTCTGTCCGTTCTCCATGATGAGAGGCGCCCCTCCCTGTGAACCAATCAAAACACACCGACTGCTGATGATATCATCGATCAGAGGAGGTTGCAGCTGATGCAGACACTGGTTAACTAACCCACCGGTTAACAGGTCACTAACCTACTGACTTGGACCTGGTTATCTATGAACAGTTCACTGACCTGCTGACTCCAACCAGGGTGTTTAACAACAGCTCTCGAAGCTCCAGGCCTGTTAGCATTAGCTTAGCTTTCATCCAGTTCCGGTTCTTACCGCAGAAACCGCCGCAGCCATGCAGCTTTCTTCCGGCTCCGCTGCCGTCCCTCTCCGCAATTCTTCGAATTGCTTCTCCGGATCTTTGAAGTTATCTCCGACCGAACCGAACCTAAAACCTGCAGACAGTTCTTCAAGTACTAGCATCTGTACACTGCCCGGAACACAACAACGCTACCCGTGACGTCACTTCCTCTGAGAGGAAATTTCAGAATAAAAGCCCCAATGACTCAGTTTGGTCAGGTATAGCTGAGGTTGGTCCGGCGGTACCAGGGGACCTTATGACGTCACCGTGTTACGTGTCAGCATAGGTAGAAGCTGGAGCTCAAAGAACGTTCTGGAATCAAGAACGTTCATCTGTTAGCTTGTGTTCTGATCTTTTCCGTTATTTATTTGATCAGAGATCTGGAACCGAGCCATCAGAACCAGAACCAACATATACACCTTTATTATCACACATCATTTTACATGTTTACACACAGAGCAGGCCGAGAACTCATCCTTTTAGAACCCAGACCCGATCAGAACTGGTTCTGATCCACTTTAGTTATGAGCTGGAACCACTCCAGGACTTTACCAGAACCAAACCGTCCAGACGTCTGGTGCTTCTGCGGCTGTGACCCGGATCGGTCCGGATCAGAACAGAATCAACAGGAGGTTCACTTCCAGTTTCCAGTCAAAGGTTCTGCGGCAGGCTGTGGAACACCAGTAGGAGAACGTCCTTTGCAGAACCTTACAAAAACCATACAGAACCTAACAGAACTTTACAGAACCTTGGTCTGTAACTTCTAGAAGTTTCCAGTTCAAGACCTGAACCGGGCCTCTGAACCCGGGTGTCTGGTTCTGGTCTGTTGGAGCAGAGAAGTGTCTAGAGGCTGCAGAACCGTGGTTCTGGAGGGCCCGAGTTGAAAATCCCGCTGTGGGACCGGATGCTGGACCCAGTATAACTCTGGACCAATGGTTTCCCCATCAGAACGGTGCCAGATGTTCTGGTGGAACATTTTCCTCAGAACCTCCTGCTGAGGTTCTGAGGAAAACACCGAGTCTGGGTTCTACACAGATACACATGGAGCGGTTCTGTTTGGTTCTGATATGATGTTCAGAACCCGTGGAACAGATCAGAACCCAACAGAACAGTTTATGGAGGTTCTAGAAGGGCATGCCTCCAGAGATCTGGCGGGCCACCTGCTCCTCTGGGCTCTCCTGGTTCCGGTCCTGGTTCCGGTCCTGGTTCCAGTCCCTCAGACCGTCCGGCAGCGCCGTGTCCTCGTCCTCGCCGCCCGTCCCTTCCACCAGCTCCTCGTATGTCGAGCGCTCCGCAAACGGCCGCCGACCCAGAAGCTCCTCCATGTCCTCTTTGGACAGAACCTCCCGCTGCAGGAGCCGCTGCGCCACCTGCAGGACAGCACAGGAACCACAGTCACAACCAGAACAGGAACCGGAACCACAGCCTCCCACTCCACCGAGCCCAGAGGAACCAGAACCAGCCTGCCTTGCTGGGATTCCACGGGCGACAGACCCGGGCGGACCATGGCGGTACCTTGTCCACCTCGGCCTTCTTGTCGGTCAGCAGCAGCTGGGTTCGGCGGTACGCCTCGCCAATCAGGGTCCGGACCTCGGAATCGATGAGGCGGGCCGTGGCCTCGCTGTACGGCTTCTCCAAAACCATCTCGCCCTGCCGCGGCAGGTCGAAGGACACCTGGCCCACCTTGGGGTTCATCCCGAACTGGACGATCTGCGGGAGGACAGCAGCGAGTCAGACGGACCGGACCCAAGAGGAGTTAGGAGTGTCTGCCAGGTTGAGCAACTCACCTGTGCATAGGCACTCTGTGTGACCTTCCTGAGGTCGTCCTGGGCCCCAGTGGTGACCCGGCCGAAGAAAATCTCCTCTGCAACGCGGCCCCCCAGCGTCATGCACATGCGGTCCAGCAGCTGCTCCTTGGTGTACAGGTACTGCTCCCTGGGGAGGTACTGGGCATAGCCCAGGCCCCGCCCCCTGGGGATGATTGACACCTGCACAGGCAGCAAAGCATTAGAACCCGGCCATGCCAACAGATCCAAACAGATCTATATAGAACCTGACGGACCTTTAGCAGCGGGTCGGCGTGCTCTAGGAACCAGCCAGCCACAGCGTGACCAGCCTCATGGTACGCCACCGTCTTCTTCTCCTCTGGCTGCAGAACCTGGGTCTTCTTCTCCAGACCTCCAGGAGACAGAAAGGTTACAGAACCGGAACCAAAACCTGACACTGCGCTGGCTCTGTTCGGGTCTCACCTCCGATCACCCTCTCGATGGCCTGCTCGAAGTGCTTCTGATTGATGGTATCGGATAGGTGGCGTGCGGCAATCAGTGCCGCCTCGTTGCACACGTTGGCGATGTCGGCGCCTGCCAGGCAGCAATAAGGGACAGACAATCCACACAAATGACCTGAGGCTCAGACACACCCGTCACCTGACTGGTCACTCCCATCAGGGTGCATACTACCTGAAAATCCAGGCGTGAGGGCAGCCATCTTCTTGGCCAGAGCATCTTTGTCCAGGTCTGTGCTGAGCTTCAGAGGATGCAGGTGGACCTTAAAAATGGACGCCCGTCCTTTGATGTCAGGAGGACCTGAAAGGAAAGAGAGTTTTGTCACCAGCTCACCTAGCTGATACCTGGCTGATAATTAACCGCCCAGTTGCCCGCTCACCGATGTAGATCTGCCTGTCGAAGCGCCCAGGCCGCAGCAGGGCCGGGTCCAGGATGTCGGGTCGGTTGGTTCCGGCCAGAACCACCACATTGGTGGCAGTGTTGAAGCCTGGGGCACAGAGTGGACAGTGAGGAACGGCCCGGTGGACCCCGTGGTTCTGCGGAAGCGGGACCCACCGTCCATCTCCACCAGTAGCTGGTTCAGGGTGTTCTCCTGTTCGCTCTGGCCTCCAAAGTTGCCGCGGCCGCGCTTCCGGCCCACGGCGTCGATCTCATCGATGAAGAGGATGCAGGGCGCGTTCTTCCGGGCCATGACAAACAGATCCCGAACCTGCATGGAGTGGAACATCAGAGGAACCTCAGAGGAACCGCTCTCCAACCCACTTCCCTGGCGGCACCTTACCCTGGCGGGGCCCACTCCCACGAACATCTCCAGAAACTCGGAGCCGTTCACTGTGATGAAGGGAACGTTGGCCTCGCCTGCTGTTGCCTTGGCCAGCAGTGTCTTCCCGGTTCCTGGGGGTCCGGTCAAGATGGCCCCCTGCCACACAACATAACCGCTGATCCTGGGGCAACCCATCTGTGGCCCCATCCTCCACCAGCCTGAAAGAACCCAACCTCACCTTGATCCCGCCTCACCTTGGGTATCTTGGCACCCAGGTCCTGGTACTGTTTGGGGTTTTTCAGGAAGTTGACGAACTCCATGATCTCCAGCTTGGCCTCCTCACACCCCGCCACGTCTTTGAACTTGACGTCGATCTCATCCTTCAGGATCTTTGCAGTGGTCTCGCCAACGCTGAAAAGACCCCCCATGCCGCGGCCCGGCCGGCCCCCACCCGCTGGCCCACGCCGCAGCATGAAGAGCAGGAAGCCGATGATGAGCGCCGTAGGCAGCATGCTGAGCAGGAACGACCTGTGGGGAAGGACCGCAGGGTCAGGGTTGGGGTCGGGGTGTAGGTCAGGTCGCAAGGTCGTGGCTCACCCGTCGCTCTCGGTGGAGTATACCACCGGCAGGCGGTTCTCGCTCTCGATGCCCAGCTCACTCTGGGCCGTCTCCAGGTTTCTCTCGAAGGTGTCCACGCTGCCAATGTTGAACCAGACGTACTGCTGCAGGTGGAAGCACAGGGGGAGGAGTCAGTGGTGGTGCTGCAGGTACCTGAGGCTTGAGCAGGCCGATGGGACGCACCCCGTCCAGCGGAGCCTTCCCCGGAGAGAACGCCACCCTGACATAGCGCTTGTTGACCACCTCCAGCCGCTCCACCTGGTGGGAAATCAGCAGTTAGAGCTGCAGACTCTGAACCAGGGCGGACACAGGTGAATTCCTCACCGCTCCTTTGGACAGGTAGTTGTTGACAAAGTCCTTCCAGGTGACCTCACGACCTCCGTCCCGCAGGAAGAAGTAGTAGGTGATGGCAGTCCAGAACGCCACGCCGGTCAGCAAGTACAAGCGGAACTCCTTATCGTCCCAAGGGACGTCACCCTGGAGAGAGGAGCAGCTGAGACACCTGGACAGGTAACACCTGGGACCCGCCGTGCCCTGATCAGGTGACTGACCTTCTGCAGGCGGCTGTACCAGTGGTTCTCCTCCTTGCGGCTGCCTCGTTTCCCTCCTCCGGACCCGGATCCTCCGGGCTTCCCGGACGGTTTCTGGGCAGGTTTGGACTCTGAAACGGGTCAGAACCGTTAGTGGGCTGGGCTTTGAGCATGCTTGGTTTGGAGAGTCAGTATAAAGTCAGCACATCCATCATCATGGAGGTTTTAGCTCTGATTCATGTAAAGTGGACTAGAACCGGTCCAAACCTGGGTCATTGGTTTACCTGTTGTAAGTCCCGCCCCTAAACCAAAACTCTCAGGTTGTTTCTGATGAAAGAGAACCGTTTTGTAGGTTCTGACCTGAAGGACCACCGTCTGACGGCGCCATCAGAGACCTTGTTCAACAGACAGAGCCGTGGAAGAGGCTCTACAGAGAACTACAGAGTCGGTTCTGTAGTTCTCTGACTTATTCACCTGTCTCCAGCTGCGCATGCTCAGACTCACCTGTGTCTTCTTTACCTTTAGCTTCCGGTTCAGAGGTTCTGGCCCGGTTCTGACTCTCTGGGAAATATTTCTCAAATCCTGTAAGGAGAACAAGAACAGTCTGAGCGCACGTTCGTTTCCATGGTGACCACCTCCGTCGTTCTCTGCGGGAACACTTCAACTCAACGATTCAGTTCACCTGAGAGGCCGTGGAGCCATACTTAGAACTCCGACCCGTGTTTGCCAAGGTGAGGACAGAACCAGAACCGGGTCCCCACTCACCTTTGGGCGGTTTGGAGCTCAGGATCCTGGAGGCTCCCAGCAGCTCGCTCAGCGGGTCGGGCCCACTCCGCACCCGACCAGAACCGGCTGGAGACACCTGAGAGGGGGAGGAGGGTCCACAGGTTGGCTTAAACAACTTCATGAACACAAGGTCTGGATTCATGGGTTGCGGACCCATTCATTTAGACCAACAGAACTGTTCTGGACAGTGCTGTTTCGGACCAAAGCGCATCTGACCCTCAGAATTTACATCACTCTATGATGAATACGTAATCAATGTCGTCATCAGTAAACCAGGCTCTGACGTCACATGTTTAGAGTGAAAACAGAGGATACCTGGCTTACGTCACACCTCTATAGCAGGTGAAAACGTAAGCCAATCCGCTCAGATTACCACGTTTTTGAGTTCGGTTCGGGCTCTGAGCGGCTTCCCGAACCGAACCCAAGCAGAGCGGGTCAAGGTGAGCCTGTCGTTCCGCCCCCCACCTACCGTCCTGGTTGGAGCTCCGCGGGGCCGAAGCAGCAGCCGGACCAGGCTCCTGCAGCCCGCAGGCAGCCGTAGGTACCGGTGGGCCATGGCACTGAGGCTGGACGGGGTTCTAAACACGGAGCGGGTCCAAAACAAACGTTCCGTAATCATCCAGCGGCGCCGACATATTTCCTCCACGCCTTCTTCTTCGATTAGAGTTTGGTAAAGATCACCGCGCCGCCTGCAGGCCCTAAAGGGAACAGTGGAGAAGGAGGAAAACCCTCTTCCGCCCTGACTGCCCCTGGAGCCGCCATATTCGTCAGGTAAATCGATGGCGACGTCGATTAAAATGTGTCTAAATGTGTCGGAGTCCAAGTTTAGATCCACCAGACGGATGTCCTGTCTGGGTCACAGACCACAGTTCATCAGCTGTATGTCAGTGAACAGGTTCCTCAGGAAACTTCTGTCTTCAGCCCACTGTACTGTCTCTTGTTGTTTCATTCAAGTTTTTTTATTATTGAAAAGTAAGCCAGGGGTGTAGATTTCATACATTGGTATGAAAAATAAAAAGAATAGAGAGCAGATATTACAGACATGACAAATTAAACATAGTCAGAGATCTACAACATTCATATGCTTTTACAGCTTTTTTGTTCATACTTTTGGAAATAGTGGATAAACAAAGTTCGAATTCCTTAACCAAAACTGTAAAAAAAATAAAAAAAGGTGAAAAGGGTGAAGATGATGAAAATTTACATTTTTGAATATGAAATTTGCCAAATATAATAATTAGATTGATTGACAGTATTTTGCCTGCATTTGTATTCTTACCATGAAAACCAAAAATAATATGCTCATACCTCAGGGAACATTTAGCATCAATATAACAATTTCTAAAAAATTTTGATACGACAATTACAGAATAAAAAACTAATTGTTTCTGGATGCTACAGTTGGGGTTTATTGTTTTCATATATTTCATCATGTATTGATTAGTAGGATAAATTCGATTACAGTTTACAAGACATCTTTCATTTTGTTGTCTATGAAAAGTTTCTGATGATGAGTCCACCTTCATCAGGGACAGAATTCTTCCAATAGAAAACAGATGAAGGTACAGAAATAATATCTTGTTGAAACAGGGAACGAATAGTTCTGTTATTCTTACAAGTAGAAGAAAAACACTCTTTACCAACGATGGAGTCAGTTACTTTCAACAAGGCTTTATATTCATCAACATTATTTCTAAAGAGTTCACAGTGGCCTCTCCAAATTGTCCCTAGGTGTGAGTGAGTGTGTGTGTGTGCATGTTTGTTTGTCCTGTCTGTCTCTGTGTTGCCTGCGACAGACTGGTGACCTGACCAGGTGACCTGACCAGGTGACCTGACCAGGTGACCTGACCAGGTGACCCTGCCTCTCGCCTGGAACGTTGGATGGAGAAGCAGCAGCACCTCCTGACCCCACTAAGAAACAAGGTGTTAGAAAATGGATGGATGGATGGAGTTCACATATTTCATTAGTTACAGGATCAAACACAATATCATACTTTTTAGGAGTTACAGCGAGGTTATACTTGAGTTTGAACTCATTATAACTGAGTAAACACCCATTTTTGTTAGATGACCCACAGAAGGATTTTTATTGTCGAACCATTTAGGATAAAATAAAAATTTATTTTTTGAAGGATATATTGGTTATTCCAGATGAAGAATTTATGGGGAGAAAAATGATGTTTACATATAAGTACCCATAAAGAAGTGCTTGTTTGTTAAATGCAGAAAGTTTTACTGGTATTTTCTCTATTTTGTAATTACAGAGGAGGAGGAAATTAAGACCCCCTACACTGGAGAAAATGTAATTTGGCAAAGTATTCCAAACGGAGGATGAACTTTTTAGATTCTACTTTAACCAGTTTACTTTGAATGTATTATTTAGAGTTGTGGAATCTAGGAAATCTAACCTCCTTTTTCATAAGAATTTCCCACTGATTTTCTTATAATATATACGATTTTTCCATAAAAAAATTGAATAACATTGGTCAACAGATTTTATAGTTTGGTTGTCTAAATGCAAGGAGAGCGCAGAATAAATGAGCCGTGATATTAGATAACAATACTTGTCCCCTAAGACAAGCTTAATTTAATCGCGAACCAAAAGTAAATCCCCCTGGTTTCCCGCCGCAGGGTGGCGCTGTGGCCCCTTTTGTCGGTGCGGGCCGGGGACACCGTGATGGAGTTTGCGGACTGTGTAGAGGAATGAACGGGCTGACTGATCACTGTTTTCCCGCTGAACTTGGACCGTCAGCGGCTTCTTGTTGTTCACATAGTGGAGGGACCGGCGGTACTGAGCTATGAGGTAACGAATCCGCCACTGTCAGCTTCTGACCCGGGTTAAAATCTCGGAGAGCAGCCCGTTGATCCTGTGACAGAGAGGGGGAAGGACAACCGTACCTGCCGGAGCTACCAGCCAAAGCTACTGGAGCCTAGAGGAAGCTTAGCTTAGCATGTAGCCTGATTAGATTAGCATGTAGTCTGGGTTTGCAACGTACAGCCGCTACTAGCTGCAGAGTTTGTCTCTAATGAGACTCGGTCATATATGATATTGTGGTCATTTGTTACTGTTAAATGTGATGTAAACGGGGCATCTGGAGATACTTGAACCCAAAGGAAGCTGCTGTCTGCGGCAGTACAGCCCGTTAGCTCTCGGTTAGCATATAAATAGAATTAGCTTATAATTAGCTGGGGTGTTTAGTTCTGAGGAGATAAACACTGTTTGGACCAGTTGCCTTTAAAGTGGTTGATAGTTCTCCTCATATGATCTGGAGGATTATCAGTTAAAATATGTCCAGCAGAAGGTTGGAGTTACTGAAGGAGCGAAGGGGCAGACATGTTGGAAGTGCAGCTGACAGCAGTTGGGACTCGGTCTAGTCGCCTTCTTCTAGCTCAGAGGTCAGGTGAGCTGTCAAGTGGACTTATTGGACCTGAATGATGTCATAATGAAGTTCAGGTTGACAGGTCAAGGTTCAGCTTCCTCTGACCAGGTCTTATTGTAATACATATTCTCAGCTGTTTGTTTGGTACCAGAACTGATCCGTTTGTCACCCAAACCCAGTCATGTTAAACTAAAAACCGTTGCTAAACATTAAAATCACCAGCACTAGAGCAATAGCCTGTGAATCTCTGCGGGTTCTGATCCAACAAGCATCTGACCTCCTTTATAATCCGGTCCAAGCCTTTTTTGGTCCCCAATCAGATTTTTATCTGGGCCCCGAATACCAGTATGTCAACACCAGATAATTCCTCATTCCTAAGCTAGTCAATTTGCATAACAAACCTACAATCATTAGCATCTTTATTATTGCTTCTGATTTTAACTGTACAAGAGTAACAAACTAAAAAATTGATTTGGATTTTAAAATGCAGAGGTACTAAAGTGTGCCATATTATATTATCTGTGTGAAAGTAACATCAGCTAAAAAACAATAAATTTACAGTAATCAAGATTGCAAGGTGACAACCATCAACAGGAAGAGATTAACCATTAGTGTAACAATTATAAAAACAATATGGAAATTGATTTTACATGTATAATAGCAATTAGTTTACTTTATTCAATGTTGTTTTTTCTATCATGCTCGCTTGGTGGTCTTGGGGCCCCTGTGGTGTGGGGGCCTCAGCAGCTGCAGCCCTCAGAGGTCAAAGGTATGTCCCCTCACCTGGACCTGGAGCGACCTGCTGCTTTTCTGCTATACATTTACACCTCCGAGACTTTCTTAGATCATGTATGAGGAAATTAGTTGCCATGTTACCAAGATGTCCTGTTAACCAGCATCAGAACCGACTAGAACCAGCCCAAGTCCAGTTAACAAAGCTGAGGTCCAGGGGCCTCCTATGGCACCTCCTGTTGGGCTCGTTGACTTCCAACGAGGTTCTAATTACAGGAACTAATTGGGCCAGCATAGGGCCCAATTAGTCCGGTTCTGGTCCTCTGGGACAGTGAATGGGAGCAGAACCTGCTGGGTTGTGTGTAACAGTGTGAATATTATGGGATGTTGCAGGAGAGCTGAGCCGGAGCCTCCAGGTGGTCTGGCTGCTGGACTATGCTGTGTTGGTCCACTGGGTGGCGCTTCCTGAGTCGAGCTCACCTCCTCCCTCCTCGACACGCCGCTCAGTCCGTCGCCATGTACGCCACCCGCCTCTACAGCACTGCGGGGGGAGGAGGGGGAGGCGGAGGGGGGCTTAAGCAAGGCAGGAGGGCAGGGCTGGCGGTGCTGGAGGGTCCTCAACCCCACCTCCCCCACCATCTTCACCCACCGCCTCCCCCAACTTACCCTCTCTACCAGGGCCGTCCAGACGCCCACCGAGGACCTCACTTCCACCATCACTACCACCCCCACCATCTGGCTCCACCCCCTCTGCCTCCACATTACCAGCACCATGTGCCGGTCCACTCCTACGGGGGAGGAGCAATGGCTGGTGGTGGCGGCAAGAAGAAGACATGGAACTTCATCCATGAGAAGATGAGCTATGACACGTTTTTCACCATGAAGCGTCTGATCGAACGCTCACGGCAACCCGACGAGGTTCTGCGCTGGGTCACACAGAACCCCGCCAAGATCTCTCACAACCACTATCCCGTCGCCCTGCAGAAGATCGGCCAGCTGCTGCAGGCTACGCCATCGCCGCGAGTTGCTGGGGATGGCGCGGATGGGGAAGCGTCAGAGGCAGACAGGCGGCAGATCCTGGACCAGCCGGATTTCCAGACCCTCTGCAATGCCATTGTCAACGACTGCGCCAAGTTCGACAACTTCAGCATCGTCAACTGCCTGTATGCTGTCGCCTCGCTCGGTAAGGCCTTCACACAGCTCACAGGATCTGCCCCCTGACTCTGACCTCACTGAACCTTTGTACCTCCAGGACTGCCTAGTGACTCCAAGGTGGTGGTGGTCCTGGAGGCGGAATCCCAGTCCAGACTGAGCCAGTTCAACCAGAAGGACGTGTCGATGGTGTTCAGCTCCAGCATGCGGCTGCACCCGGGCAGCCAGCACCCGCTGACCGAGGCCTGCCTCGCCGGCCTGGAGAAGAACCTGGAGCGAGAGCGCCACCCGCAAACGCTGTTCCTGCTGCTCTCTTACTACCGACTCAAATGGCGCTCGCTGCAGATGGCAGAGCCAGCTACAGGGGTTGCCGCTGCTATCAACACGCCTCCGAATCCAGAGCAGCTAGTCACCAACAGGTGAGTCAGGTCTGCGGCTGATACCCGGTCAGTGGACCTCTGAAGACTCTAACGGCTGATTCGTGTCCTCAGGAAGATCCTGCGACTTGTCAAGCACACTCTGGCCAGCGTCAGTGGCGTCCGTGACCAGGAGATGGCGCTATTGGACGAGATGCTGGCAGCCTGTGCTCGAGAGGCCAGTAACAAGAGTCTGGAGCTGATCTTCAGCTCTCACCTGTTCTACCAGAACCGACAGGAGAAGTTCATCAACAGCCTGGCAGGTCGGTTCCCTGAGCAGGTGGACACAGGTGTCCCTGTGTCCACCTGTCCTGATCTAACCTTGCTGTGACTGTCTCCTGCAGAGGAGCTACCCAAGAAGGTGGACAGCATCACGCCATACACCATGGCCCTAATCGCCAAGTACATCGCCCGCCATCGGCTCAGGGAGACCCGGCTTCTCGACACCATTGCCGACTTTCTGATCAGGAAGGCCGAGTACCTGGATAGTAAGGTGAGGATGCCTCTGCCTCACTGTTGGGTTGGGAAATGCGGGCGCGCTCTGACCAACGTCTATCTCATCAGGTAATCCAGAAGCTAGTGTTCCCATTCAGCAGGATGAGTTACCGTCCGTCCGCCGAGCAGCAGTTCTTCTCCCGGCTGGAAGAGGCGGTGGAGCTCAAGGCGCTATGCTCGCCGCTCGCCACCGTCAACATCCTCATGTCCCTGTTCCAGCTTGGCCACTTCCCTGGAACTGTGCTGCACCGAGTCTTTTCCTCTGCCTTCATCAGCAATGTCACAAGTGAGCAAATAGTGAGACCCTTGATACCGCGGCTTACATGGTACCAGAGAGACAGCCAGTAAAACAGTCTGTTAAACCTTAATGGAACCAGTGTAGATGGTCTGAACTGGTTGAACCCTGTGGTAGAATGGTGGTGTGATGCTCCCCCAGTATAACCAGTATCCTCTGCCCTCAGATAGTCCATATGCGCTGATTGTCAGAAGGTACCTGTCTCTTCTGGACGCGGCGGTAGAGTTGGAGTACCGTGACTACGTCGGCCCTCGCCTGCAGGACGCACACAAGGTGCTGATGTTTGACCATGCCCTCACAGCGGACGAGGTCAACCGGAAGTACAGGTGAGACCTGCGTACACCTGGATCAGGCCTTTTCAGGGGGTCCACAACCAAGACCTTGGTCTCAGCATGCAAGGTGGCCCAATCATAGCTGAGCTTTTGGGGCGCATGGCTGGATCAAAGAGGGCAAGGGCTTTAAATGCGAGTCATAAATTTCCTCCACAACCAGGAACAGGCTGGTTCTGCTTTTGGGCCCAGATTGGGTTGATCCGATAGAGTTGAACGAACATCGGAGGTTCTGAGTGTTCCTTAGCTGGTACTAACAGAACCTTTTGAATCTAAAAGAGATGTGTCAGCAGTTAGAACCAGAAGAAATTGCTGGTTCTTTTCGGTCTGACTGGTTCTGTCGGGTTTTCCAGCTATAAAGGTCTGGTGGCTGAAGCTCTTCGCCAACTGCTGGGAGAACATAGCTACAAACAGGACGAGGTGCTGCCCCCTGGATACTACACAGGTACTACACCCAGACCCACATGGCCGTGCAGTACTACACCAGGACTGATGAGGTACTACAGCGCCCCCACTGGACAAATTAGGTACTGCAGCGCCCCCACAGGACTAAGTTAGGTACTACAGCGCCCCCACAGGACAAATTAGGTACTGCAGCGCCCCCACAGGACAAAGTTAGGTACTACAGCG